AGTCAAATTGGACTCCGTTCTCTTAGCTGGCACCAATCTCGCCTCTGCATCACATTGCCTTTCTATTATCTCTAGTTGTTTGTGACCAAAGGAAGTGGGTGATGTAATGTCCTACCTGAGTTGTACTTTACCTAACTGACCATCTTGTATCTCAGCACTTGGTATAGAAGGAAGACTAATTATACTCTGATGCTAACCACAGATGGTTCTTGGGCTACAACCCACCCACTATATTGATTCTCACTTTTCTGGTCCATTTCGGATCAACCTACTCACCAACCCATTGTCTCTATGATCTTGCATTTTTTGGTATTCTTTTTAATTTGTTTTTATCCCATTCTCTTTAATAGAATGGCTCCAAGATAAATGATTAAGGGATGGGAACATTTGGGGCAAGAGCATCCTCCAAGTAGACTGTGTGTGACATGGTATTCTACCTAGAGCAATCACTGGTATCCTTAATGGCGGTTACATATTAAAAATTGGACTAACATAATTTTAAAGCACTGGAATTGGAGTGCATGGACTCGAGTCACAGCTCATGTGCTTATAAAGAAATGCAGTTTCAGTTATCTGCCCAATCATTCAATTTCCTCACATGTAAAATCAGGATAAATATAGTCCTTACTTTATAGGCTCATTAAGTGAACAAAACATGGAAAACTCTTAGCCTAGTAGCCCTGCTCATAGTAAGTAGATTACAGCTATGATAAGTTGTAATTATAGGGCACTGAGGATTAGGGAGAATATGGCAGGAATGGGCACTCTCAGTTTGATCTTGTGCTGACTTGATTGCCACTCAGTCTAAGCATCAGAGAACTAGGCTCAGAAAGTCCTACAGGCCATCTTTTCATAACATACCAAGACTAAGACTGATCTTCCCAGAGCCAGGGAAGGACTCAGTTGAGACAGATCCCTCAGACCAATCCTTAGATCCTGTCAGTTCCTGGGTGTTGAAGTTTTGGCATCATAACCATGATCTTTTGATATCCATATCTACTCATCCATTCCCAATATTGTCCTGACCCACTATTGATACTGATCTCTAACTTGGGCCTTGGACATGATTCCTCGGTTCCTAAACCTTACAGTCTAGAGGGGAAGAAAGACTAATCAAACAAGACAGCTTGTCAGACACCAGTGGCTCATGCCTGTAATCCTAGCCTCTCAGAAGGCTGAGATCTGAGGAACACAGTTCAAAGCCAGCCCAAGCAGAAAACTGTGGAACTCTTATCTCCTATTAATCACCAAAAAGCCACAAGTAAAACTGCCACTCCAGTGATAGAGTGCTAGCTTTGGGCAAAAATAAAAAGTTCAGGAACCCTGCTGAGGCCTGAGTTCAGGCTCCAAGATAAGATAACTTAAAAACAAAATTGCAAGTAGAAGATTAGGTCTACAGAAATGAATCGGCTACCTGTTACATTGCCATTGTATCTTTATTAATTAGGTCAATGCCCCACACATCACGGGTACTATATACATGTTCGCTGAAAAGGCTAGTCAACACATGGCATGGAAGCAGCTGTTAGAAACAATGTGTGAGAAGTGCACAGTGGGAGATTGGTCTCCCTGAGAGGTCAGCAAGGGCTTCCTTCAGAAATAGAAGTTGAAGCGAGGCACTGGTGACTCATGCCAGTAATCCCAGCTACTTGGGAAACTGAGATTAGGAGGGTCATGGTTGGAGGCCAGTCTAGACAGAAATTTTTCTGAAATCCCCTTCTTAAACCACAGCTTAGAGCACTAATGCATTCCTCTCACTGCAAGCTTCCAGTAAGGCCAAGAATGGCAACATTGTGATTCCCAAACAGCCTGAGCAGAAAAATCTGAGACACTCCCCGGAGGGAAGCTAGAGGTGGTGGTGTGTCACTGGATGCCAGCAACAGGAAGGCTGAAGTAAACAAATTGCAGCCCAATGGCACACTCAGATAGGAAGTGACAGTTATCTTAAAAATAACCAGTGAAAAAAATGGGGCTAGAGGTATATGACTCAAGTGGTAGTTTGCCAGCCTAGCAAGTGTGAGGCCTTGAGTTCAAACCCCAATACAGTGCGCATGCACGCACACACACACACAAATAGATTGTAGAAAGGTAGTGGATTCCAATCAGTGAAATAAACTAGGTTGAATTATAGTATAGTTAGGATGCTGTATTAGAGGACAATGGAGACCTTATAGAAGAGGAAAATAGATGTTTTTCAGGGAAATAATTCTGGCAAGTATATGAATGAAAGCAGTGACAGGATGGCCCATGTCACTGGAGAAACTACAATTGCTGGCATGTATATAACAGCTTTTATTTAGTTGTATCATCTTACTCAACATTATTCCATTAATAATTCATGATGGCCTTCTTATGTCACGAGCCAGGAAAATGTCATTCCAATTTCAGCTCAGTCAACTAAGTGTCATAGTCTTTGGGTGTTGTCAAAGACACACATTTAAAACCATTTGTGAATGCCCTTGTTATTCCTCTCACCAGACTTTTGAGGAAAGTACTAAGCTCCTCATAATGCATGAAAAAAGGGATAGTGTAAGTGTGATTAACACATGATTGAACTGGGATGTGAAGCCATGTGCTATGAAATTATGCCCCTCTACGATTCTTAAAGAAAACCTCAACCTACATTGCAGTTTTGTCCCTACAAGATGTTAATCATATCAGAATCGAACCATCCCATGGTTTGATCTTCTTTGTGGATTCCATATTCCAGTTGATTCAGAATTAGATAGGACTGTATTTGGAGATGGAACCTTTAAGAAGGTATGTAAAGCTAAATGGCTTCATAGAAGTGAGGCCTGGATCTTGTACAATCAAAACTGAGCTCTCTGGAGCCTGTACCTTCTATCACCAGCCTTTAGAATGATAAGAAAACAAACTATTGTCTTATAATCCACCCAATCTCTTGTGTTTAGTTATGGTAGCCTGAGAAGAGAAATGGAGTCTTAGGATACATTGGCTATTATTATCTTCTGTGAAACACCATTTTTTCCTTAGTTGACAGCAGAGAGGTACAGAACTGAAATTAATCCTTTCTACATCACATTCCATGCTACTGGCAATCTTATTAACCCAAGGAGTAAGTTGAGGTCAGGGGACACATGACATTCTAATCCCATCCTTTGTCTTCAGTGTTATCAAGAGTCATGGACTGGAATTCCTGATCCTCACAATCTGGCAGCTATGTCTGTGATTGCCCTGGATCAAGAGTGTTAAAAGTGACAGTTGTCAATTCAAATGTTACCACTTTCCACGTGACTAAGATTGACATCCTAGATGGCAGAGCTGCGAGTCTTTCACACAAAGGCTTGGGAGAATTGAGGACCAGAGCTAAGCATCAGCTACTGCTTCTCCAGAATGTATGAGTGAAATCTATGTGTGTGACTGTGTGGCTTTTTCTTCATATCCTCTGGGAAAACCCAGTATCCAGGGTTCAACTCTAGATCACATTAGCTGTGAGTACTTCATTGTTACACACCTTCTTTTAATTTATCTACAAAAGGGGGGGGTAATAATCTGTCCTATACAACACTGACAGGATGCCTAGAAATCAGTAAATATCTGGTAAATAATGGATATTGCCATTAGGAATAATAACTTCAACTATTTCTATTTTAAAAGACAGTTTTCAGCAGTAAGTCAGTATCCCTCTTTGCCTTGGGCTGAAGGAATAAAATATTCATACTAGGATGATTTTTCCTTAGAGATAGCTATCTAATAATCCATTTGGTCTCTGGGCTGAGTTCCTCTTGGTATTTCTGAGTTCAGAAATAGCAAAATGTTCATCCTTGTTAGAGGAAAGCAAATAGAAGTTTGTTGTTTGCAGGGGGAGGGGGAGGAGGCTTTTCTCTGAGATCTGTAATGATACTTCATAAGTGTCTGTGAAAGCCATCATATTCTATATGCTTATTGTCTAAACTGCGTAAACCCAACCCCTTGAATTTCATCCACTATGGAGAGTTCTCCAGGGAGGGGAGCAGGCAAGCCTATCTTTGAAGTAGGCTTAAATACAAAAGCATAGGCATTCAAGCAGGCAGAGGACAGAAGGAACATGCTGTACCCACCTGCCACTGCTGATGAGGGGCTTATTTCTAAGACACACACAGCACAATGCACACACAATGCAGAGAGAAAACAAAAGACATAGATCACACATTTCAGATGGTTGGTGGACAAAGTTTAGTTCATGTCAACGCTGAAAGCTTGTTCAGGGTCTGAGATGGAAATGGGAAAATGAGTCCCTCTTCATCCTACTTTTCCTACATTAAACCTCAGCAAATAAGCACATATATACACACAGACACATTCATCAATATCACAATAAGCTGGCCCTGGCCACGGCATGAAATGTTGCACAAGGATATGGACACGGTAGTGAGGGAAGTTGGAGGGAAGAAGAGCTTTCAAAGAAGCCATTCATTCATGGGTCCTGACCGCTCTCCATCAATATGGGAGAAATTGAGTTTCAGGAAAGGTCTCACGCTGCAATTGCGAATAAAGCATGCATCTGATGAGGGCCTGGACCTCTGCTCCATTCATCTCAGTGAAAGAGAACATGCATGGGAGTCAATGTGAGAATCATGATGGCAGTTGCTAACTTGGTTTGATGCTATGAATAATAACCCCAGAATCATCGACTCTTACCACAGAAGCTATCTTAAATCACATCTCCTTTGTCCCCATAAACATTTAGAATATATTACAATCAAACTGTCCCATGAATCTACCTTCTTGGTGGATTCCACATTCAAGTTGTTTAGATTTTGGTTTACTCCTTTTGAAAAGGGTCAATCTTGCCGTTCAATAACCGGGAAAATCAAATTACCTTGTAAACAACACTGTCTCTAATGGCAGGGGAATGAAGGTGAGGAGTTTCTTATCTAAGGGTTGGATTGAGCAGTATGGATGGACACAGGCCAAACAAAGCATGCCTTTCCTCCCTCCCGAGTCCCTGGAGATCCCCAATGTGGCTGAACCAACTGCATCAGGCTTCCTGCACTCACCATACAGTGTGATGCTGGCATTGGTATTTCCAAGCTTGTTTGTAGCCACGCAGGTATAGTTCCCATAATCCTTCTCTGAGACATTGAAGAAAGTCAGAGTGGATATACGGCCTTTGTTCTCAATCCTTACTCCGTCCAGGCCAGTGGCTAACCTGCACAAAGAGAAAGCATTACTGATCACTACTTATCACATGAAAGATTACCTTAATCATAGATTTATTCCACAAGGAGATGTTCTTTCTCCAAACCTTTTCCCCTAACTAGACTGGCTTCTCCAACACAAACCTTAAGTAGTATAACCCAAAAGGAGGAAAAAGGAAAGGGGAGATGTGCTCAAAAGATAACCTTTCCTTGCTTCTAGTCATCACTCTACCACAGTGATGACTAATCTCAGATTCTGAAAAAACAAGGTCAATTTGTTTTCTTGACTTCCCAGCTTCTTTTATTTTTCACCTTCTGGCTCTGAAAAAGAGCTTTGTGACAAAGAAAGCAGTTTTGCCTTTTTCTTTCCCCTGTACTTTATCACCCTCCTCCGTCCATGTGGGGAATCTGTCTTCATTGAAGTACCAAAGCTACCATAATTCCTTCAGGGTACCTTGTGTCTTCTTTGAACCACTGAAATTCGGCCATGGGAACAGCAGAGGCTTCACAGCTCAAGATGCCTTTCTGGCCCACTGAAACACCAGTGTTCTTGGCTTTGGAGATATAAGGAGGATCTGTGGGGAGTAAACAAGCACACAAACAAACATCACTACAGCATGATTACAGGAAGGAATGAATGACACTTCCCATTTATTAGGTGTCTTATGAAGACATGACATTTCTTCTAGGCCTTCCCACCCATTTTACATGAGCAGCTCTCTCTGTCTGCAGAAGGCTCTGATGTCCTAGGAAGATGCCAGGGACACAAACGGCACTAGGAAACAAAGATAGGGAAAGCAGATACCCCTGAGTTGTGGTCTTCTGGTAAATGATATTGCCATCACCCAGCTTGCCACCTTAATCGCTGTCCCACCTGCTCCCCCTAGAAATTCTGTGTAGTAATGAACTCACAGTTTACGGTGATTTTTACTTTCCGCACATCTGGTGCAGCGACATCATTCAGAGCACTGCATTCGTACTCCCCCGATTGGTCACGTTTGATATCAGAGATTTCCAGATATTCATCCTCACTCACGAAGCCCTGGCCTTCTGGGAAGACAGAGAGACAATAAAAAGAACAAGGAAATCGTTAAGCTAGTCTCAGAACCATATTCACATCTAGAGCTCCTAGAAGGAGCAGGGGAGCCGTTTAATAAAGGCATTGGAGCTGCAAAACAAAGGTACATGACATCATGAAGGAAGAAATTCTTGGAGTCTTGGACCAGCATTTTTTCAGGGAAGCCACTTTAACTTGTGTAGAGTACCTGGTAAGGAAGGAATATCATTGTATTTTCTTTAAAGATTATTGGGAAGAGTAGTTAATTATCCCAATACATGAATAAACCTTGATGTTTTAAAGAAAATTGTCATGATCAATAGTATGGTAAAACATGTGGAGTAAATTTAGACTATGATATCTTTTTCCTGTGTATAGAAATGCAGTTATATATGTTAAAACATATTATAAAAACTAATTATAGGGGGGAAAGGAAATGAATGTTTTATACTTCAGGACAAATAAATTCAAATCAGTGGGTCAGTTTCAACCAGAAATGGAGAATACATAGCTCAAATGAAGCATTTCATTATATATGTACGTATATATGTATATATACACATACATACTTACAGATAGATCTCTTTTCATATATATGTGTGTGCACGTGTGTTTAGAAACCATAGGACAGGCATGGTAGAGCACAGAATCCCACCTACTTAGAAGGCAGAGATAGGATGATCACAATCTGAGGATAGCCCTAGAAAAAATGCAAGACTCTAAAAAACAGAATGAAGTCAAGAAGACTTGGGATATGGCCCTTATAGAAGCCTTGAGGTCACCCAGTACTGCCAAAAGAAGAAAGCAAGAAAGGAAGGAAGGAAGGAAGGAAGGAAGGAAGGAAGGAAGGAAGGAAGGAAGGAAGGAAGGAAGGAAGGAAGGAAGGAAG